ATGAACAGGAGCTCGTTGTGGAGCTCGGTCATGGCGCGCCGCGAGCTGCAATCCGGGCTGAGCGTCGCGGGGCGGCGGCTTGAGCGGGCGCGGCGGGAGCGGCGGGCGCGGGAGCGGCAGCGGGGGCGCCCCGTTGCTGCGCAGCGACTGGGCCGTTGGGAGGCCTCGCCGCGTTGACGTTGATGAGCGCATCAGGAACGTGAGGACGATCTTCAATGCCCCGAACGTTGATGTTGCGCCACGGGCCGCCGAGGACGGTGAAGGAGAGCTCGTCGAAGGAGACATCGGCTGTGTAGATGATGCGCCGGACGGCGGGGATGTAGACGAGGTACTTGGAGCGTCGAGGTTCGTGGCCGAGGTTGATGCCCTTGAGACGAGCGGGGGTAAGGTTGTGCCCGCGAAGCGACTCGGGGAGGACGCAGGTGCAGTCGCAGAGCATAACCTTGAAGCGTTCGAGGCTGTACTCGCGAGGGTAGCCGATGGCGATCTGCATCGGTGACAGCCACCGAGGCTCAGCGCTGGTCCCCTTGTTCGTCTGCAGCAAGTTGTGGACGCGGGCGAACTGGTTGAAGAGGAAGGGCCAGAACTGAACGTACTCCTTGTCCCCCCCAGCATGAACGAGAGCGGTGCGCGTGCATTTGAGGAGAGTCCCCCAGCAGCGCTCGGCGACGGCGTTCCCCTCGTGGATGTCGGGAGAAGAGAAAAAGTGCTGGATGGCGAGGGCGCTCGTTGCTCCTCCGTCTCTTTGTATCTTCCATACTGCGTTTATCAGAAGACTAGTTTACGTCGACGACATACTCATCGCCGACAACTGCCCCACGCTGCGCGCCCGTTTTGTTGCCGACATCTCCAAGCGCTTTCCTACCGAGGACAAAGGCGAACTCGAATGGATACTGAACACCGCCATCACGCGTGACCGCGGCGCACGGACCCTGAACTTGTCCCAGGGCCTCTACGCCGCCGACCTCGTTACCAAGTTCAGCGCCTATTTCGATCGGTCCCGCTCACGCCGCTTCGACTCGCCTATGGAAGAGGGGCTCGAACTGTCCGCCGATGACCAGCCCGCCGTTGGATCTGTTGAATACGACGAGATGTCCGAATTCCGCACCGCCTACATGGCCATCGTCGGCGGACTACTGTGGCTTGCCAATATGACGCGCGTCGACATTGCTTATTCCGCGTCTCAGCTTGCTCGGTTTATGACGAACCCTGGCCCGTCGCATTTTAAAGCCGCCATCCGGGTGCTTATCTACGTGCGCGACACAGCTGACCGCGCCCTCGTCATGCAGCCGAATCCCAACCGCAACCTTGAGAGCTACGTCGATTCAAATTGGGCAACGAAGTTCTCTTGCTCCGGTGGCATGTTCTTCTTCTACGGATGTCTCTTCCACTGGTTCTCCAAAATGCAGCGATCCGTCACGCTGTCTAGTGCCGAGGCAGAGTTCTTCGGCGCCATGCTAGCCGCCAAGGAGGTGATTTTCATCCGTGAGCTACTGATCGACCTTGGATTTTCCATCGACGGCGCCAGCGTCATCAACTGCGACAGCAAGTCCGCCGTCGGCATGGCCTTCGATCCCGTTGCCTTCAAGAAAACCAAGCACATCTTGCGCGCCGCCGAGTTTCTTCGCGATCTCGTCAGCCGTGGCGTTATCTCCGTCGAACACCTCCCCGGCGTCGTGATGCTCGCCGACCTGCTCACGAAGGCTGCCTCGCGGGCCATCTTTACTGGCCTGATCAAGCAGCTCGACGACTTTCATGCCCTTTGAATTTATTTGTCCCTCGCGCCCCGCACTCGGGCCAGGAGGGGCTGTGTTCCCGGGCATTCACACTATATTCCTCTGAGATAATATTATATTTCGCCGCCACTGCGGCGCGCGCGCCTTATCCGCGCGCTATATTAGTAGAGCCAAACTTGTGTTCTTGTTTTGGGTCAAACTTGTTACAGCTCAGCGATCGCGATGCGGCCTCTGCCTAGCTTCCTGCTCCTATGCGCGAGCTATGGCGTGACCGCTATCGCGTACTAACGTTATTAAATATCTGTCGGGGCCCTCGGGCAAAACAGGCACACGAGCGCTCACACCCCGCCGCTCCCGCCGTCGGCCGTCGCACGTATATGCCGCCGCTCGCCGCTACTCTCTCGAACCATCTCGGAGCCGGGCTCCATCGCGTCGCCACGCGAAAAGCGCCAGAACGCTAGGCTGGACCCCAGCATGAGCGCGGCGGCGGAGAGGAGTGCGGCTCCCTGGCCGACCCGCGCCGCCAGCAGGCCGAGAGCGAGCGGCATCGTGCCAAAGGTGACGTCCTGCACCTGGTTGAGGAGCGAGTTTGCGGAGCCTCGCCACGAGGCGGGCGTCACCTCGGCGGCGAGCGCGGAGACGGCGGCGGTGTAGGCGGACTCCGCCACGTCCCACACCGCCATGCTCGCCCAGAAGGACGCCCTGCTGCGGCAGAGCGGCAGCGACATCACCGCGAGAGCGCCGAGCGCCGACGAGCCGAGCGCGACGCGCCGGCTGCCGAGCCGGTCTGCGAGCAGGCCTCCGACCGGGGCGGCGGCGAGGCCGACGCAAGTGAGGGCGGAGAACATGAGGCCGAGGTCGGCTGCGCCTGCGCCCCAGACGCTCGCTGCGCGGAGAGGCACCACCGTCAGCCAGGCCGCCCACCCGACAATCAGCCCGAAGCGAGAGGCGAGCAGGGCGCGCTGCGACCGGTCTGCGAGCAGCGTGCGGAGGGGCGGAGGGCGGGCCGCGCCGGGGGAGGCGTCGGCGGACCCGCGCGCGCGGCGCGTCTCCGGCAGCAAGGCGTACAGCCCGGCGCTCCCAATCAGGACGGAGCCGATGACGACGTACGGCAGCCGCACCGCGCCGCCCCGCTCCGCAAGCACGCCTCCGACCGCCGGCCCGACCGCCCAGCCGAGCAGGCCGACAGCCTGCACCGTGCCGAGCAGCGCGCCCGTGTTGTTGGGGAAGCGCTCGACCACGTCCATCAGGTAGGCCTGCTCCGCGGTGGCCAGCATCGACGAGCCCGCGCCGACGGCGAGCCGCGCGGGCACGAGCGAGGAGAGCGAGGTCGCCGCCGCCGTCGCCAGCGAGCCGCAGCCGTCGACGAGCGCGCCGAGGACCATCGGGCCTTTGCGGCCCCAGCGGCTGTCGACCAGCCGCCCGGCGGGGAGGTTGAGCACCACCTTGGCGAGCGAGGGCGTCGAGACGACCACGCCGACGCCGGTGGCGGTCAGGCCGAGCGAGGAGGCAAAGGCCGGCAGCACAGGGACCACCGCGCCAATCGCAGCCTGCACGAGCATCGCCGCCGAGGCGAGCGTCGCCAGCTGGTAGATGGTGGCGCCGTCCAGCTGCTGCTCCGGCCCAGCGCTCGCCTGCAGCCGGACCGGCGAAGCCGAACGGCGAGGCGCCAGTGTTGCTGAAGGTGAACGGCGAAGTGCCGCACGTGCAGGCGAACGGCGAAGTGCCGCACGTGCAGGGTAACGGCGAAGTGCCGCACGTGAGAGTGGCAGCGCTGCAGTCGAGGCAGGCAGAAGCAGGACAGCCAAAAGTAGCATCGGAGCCCTGGGGCGTGCGTCTCGCTCCTGGCCTGAGCAAAAAATAAAAAATGCAATCTGCCCGCGCCGCCTAGCTCTGCCATCCCTCCCTTGGGTTGTCTGTTTTCTTTCTTTCTTTCTTTTAGCTCTGCAGACCCCCACATTCGCAATCGTGGGATCGTACGTGTTGTCTGGTTTGATCTTTTTGAGCGCTCCTGTGGCACGCCTGCGCAGGGGCCGCAGGGCGGTCAGTTGTGGGGCGAGGCTGTGCCGGCCGCGGGCCGGGTGCAAGGCGCCGGCCTCGGCGCCGCCTCGGCGCGCAGCACGGGCGCGGCGAGCCTCTGAGCGGGAGCCGAAGGTTTGCTGCGGTAGGTGGTAGGTTGGTAGGTGGACGGTGGGGTTGTTTGACTTTGCCGCAGAGGCCAAAAAAAGAAAGAAAAGAAAGAAAACAGACAACCCAAGGGAGGGATGGGAGGACGGCACGCCGCCACCACACAGGGATTTTAAGGAGAGGTGTGTGGTGCGCTATCCGTCGCCCACCCTAGGGAGTCTGCCTCTTCCTATCTCTCTTCGCAGTCTCTCGCCGATTCTCGCTGCAACCTTCATGCCGGAGGCGGGTTCGACTGCGGGTACCCCGTAGAAGTCCAGGTCTGGGTCGAGCTTCCCTCGCCCCTTCCGCCGCACATTCCGTCGGTGTCGCTTCCACGCCCACACCCTTCTCTTTTTTGCGCGGATCGGGAGGGCGGCGATCTCTGCACCCGTCCATGCTTCGCGTCCCCTTGGCGCTGGGCGCCGGCTCCGGCGTTTTCTTTTTCGGGCGCGCCGTCTGGCTTTTTCGCTTCTTTTCTCTCTGTACAGCAAACAATTAAATAAAATCCACCGTATATGAGGCGGTGAGTCTCCGTCGCAGCGGATTTCGACCTCCGTCGTGTCGCGTGCGTTCGCTTCCCTCCTACGCGTCGGCTGGTCCCTGGTTCGAGAACCTGGGGGGGAGGGGGGGGCCTCCTTGGCCTCCTCGGCAGCCTCGACAGCCTCGACAGCCTCGACTGCTTGACGCACGCGACTCGCGCGGCACCCGTCGTTTTGCTCGCCGGGCGGCCCCCACGCCGCCCCGTCTCGCGCTTCCTCGCGTGCTGGGCAGCGCCTCGGCTGGTGCTCTCCTTCTCGCTGAGTGTGCTGCTGTTTTGCGCTCATTGTGTGGCTGCTCGGTTCGTTGCGCTCCCGGGGACCAGAGACCGGTGGTGACCCACCGGTTCGGTACGACCCGCAGCCTACTCCTACTACCGCGCGCGCGCACGCGCGGGCCGCCGCGGGCACGGGCGGGGCGAGCGAGCGCACCATTGTCTCGGTTGGTCGTACGGCGCCTAACAAGGTAGCACTTGGAGCACTTGGACAACTGCCGCAGAGGCCGTCCCTAGCTGTGAAAAGCAAAAAATTCTCTTTCCAAAAAGTGCCCCCGACAACTCACAGCAGTCCGATGTATTCGTGGGTCTGGCTATCGCTCCTCGCGGCGCTAGTCGTCGTCTCGCTTGGCCTCTACTACCCTCTCTTTGGCGGCTCGGCGCTCGAGGGCATCCTCGCGACGCGCCCGCTCGTCCGTCTCGCCAATGCGATGTGGGGGCGGTCCACCCGCAAAAAGATGGAGGCCGAAGGCGTCCCTCGCCCGACCGCGACCATCGAGTACTCGCCAGGCCTCGAGATGGACGTGTACGACGGGCGCGACGCTCCAACCTCGCCCGCGCCGTGCATCCTCTACTTCCACGCCGGCGCCTTTCTCGTCGGCGACAAGGCGTTTGGCGCGGGGACTTTGGGCTGGATGGTTGCGCGCGGCGCGGTCGGCATCTCGGTCGGGTATGCGCTCACCTCAGGCAAGGACGGCCGCGGCCTCGGCGGCTGCATCGACTCTGCCAACGCGGCCCTGAGGTACGTGCGCAGCAACGCCGCCTCGCTCGGCATTGACCCGGCGCAGGTGGTGGTGTGGGGCGACTCTGCGGGCGGGCTGCTCTCGCTGGCGCTCGGCACGGGGCTGGCGACGCCGCGCGCCGTTGCGTCGGTCGACCGCCCGATGCTGGTCGTCGCCGGGTGGCCTTGCTGCACGGTGGAGAGCCGCTGGTACGCGCCCCGCAGGCTGCCCGAAGGCGGCTGGGCAGAGACGCCCTCGCGGGGAGAGATGGACCCGCCGTGTGCCTTTGTGCCCGAGGGGAAGGGAGGGACCGCCGCGGCGGCCCAGCGCCAGCTTCAAAGGGTGCTCGCCGGCACCTTCCTCCTCTTCGGCCCGCGCGGAGGCGGCTGGCTCCCCTGCCGCCTTCGGAAGGTTCGAGGAGGCGTCGTGGAAGTGTCGTGGAGGTGTCCCGCGCATAGGCGGCTGGCTGCCCGCCTCCGTCCCGGCGCACTGGCCGCAGGACGACGGCGCCTCCCTCTCGCCGCTCTCGCGCGCGTCGGAGGCGGGCCTGCTAGTCACGCTGGTCGGCACCTTCCAGGAGCGGTCCAGGAACCTTCCAGGACCCTTCGCATAGGCGGGCCTGCCGCCGACGCTCCTCCTTGTCGGCGGAGCGGACGGCACAACCCCTGCCGGGCAGGCTCTGTTTGCCTATAACCTAACCCTAAACCCTAACCCTAACCCCAGCCGGGCAGGCTCATTCATGAGTGGTTAATGAGTGATGAAGCAGTGATGACTCACTCATTAACCACCACAACCCCTGCCGGGCAGGCTCTCCTGTTTGCCGAGCGCGCGCGAGCGGCGGGCAGGGCGGTGGGGGCGCTGGTGTTTGAGGGTGCAGACCACGGGACTGGAGGGGTCAACTGTGCGGCGGGCCGCTCCGCGGTGCTCCGCTTCCTGAAGCAGCACGGCCTCCGCGGCGTCGACCTCGAGGCGGACTCGGTGGGCGAGTCGCACGTCGAGGCGGCGACGCGCGTCTTCGGGACGGGGGGCGTCGAGTACAGCAGTGCGCCGCTCGAGGGCAAAGACGGGCAGTGGCTGGTCGAGGGGCGAGCGACCGTCTCGCTGCCACCCGCTGCACCCGCCGACAAGAAGATGATTTGATCTGCGCGCCGCCAGATCGACACGCCGACGCGTTGCTGCCTTGTCAGCGGGGAGCCTCAATCCGCAGATCCACTTCGAGCTCCTTTTCGAGTTTTGTACTATTTATGTCGTGTGCGCGCATGGATGTCTAGCCCCGGCGCGCTCCCCCTGGTTGCGCGCATGTGAGCGAGGTAGTGTTTCTCTGGACTCTGCCCCGCGCGCGCGGCCGCTCTCCAAAATCTAGTGCCGCCTAGCCTAAAAACAGAAAAACACTCAAGACAGAACAAAGAACCCTGCACAAAGATCGCACGGGCGGGGACCTGTTCCTTTTTACCCATCTCACAGTAGAGAGGTCTCCGTTTTTATTTATTTTTAACACTCGTTACTGCCTTACTCGTTACAACGTTAGCCGCGTCTATTCGCATTCACACGCGGTTGAGGCTTTTGGGGGTCTACCACAGACTAGCATCAAGACTAGACACATATCACCGGCGCGCGGGCCCCGTGGGTGCTGGGTCTCCATCAGCATCACTTAGACTTACCCAAACTATCTTACTAAGTGACTTAGAGTACATAGCCTGGTCAAACTCAAAGTGACACGTTCGCGTTGGGATCGACAAAGGAAGGGGACAGCGCATTCTTGAGTATGACTGGCTCCCACAGCGGGTGCTTGTTTGCGAGCAGGATGTGCCACAAGTGTTCGAGTATGATGGCAAGAGTCTTACTTGGCCACGGCTGACCGGCGCATGCGCCCTGTTCGACGATTTGCTCATACGCCCGCCTCCAGAGCTCGCGGGGGGTGGCAAGGACCACTTCACGGTGGACCGCAAAGCAAGCCGATGAGACAAAGTTGAATCGAAACGCTCCAGTGTCTCTGGAACCCTGTACCCACGCGCGGCTTCGATTGAAGAGTTCGAAGAGTTGGCGCACGCAACGGTTGTTGTCGGGTGCGCCTGGCCATCGCCTCGGCAAGTAGCGGAACTGCCGTCTTTCGACCGAGTCTGATCTCGCCTCGCCGCCTCCCGATGGTGGTAAGGCTGGAGAGCCAAAGCGGCGGAGATGGCGGGGGAAAGATCGCAAGGGCGGGGGCCTGTTCCTTTTTACCCATCTCACAGTAGAGAGGTGTCCGTTTTTATTTATTTTATTTAGGGCGGGGGATCGAGGAAAGCACGACTCGCACCGACCCTTCACGAACCGAAAGGCTGCACCCGCGACCCGGCTCCCGGGGAAGGCACAGCGTAATCCGGGCACGTGTTGGGCGCCCATTCCGTTTGGGCTAGGTCGGCTCAGGGCCCCGTCCACTTCCCTCCCACTTGGCGCGTGATGGTGAGGAGGTGCCACCCAGGCCAGCCAGGGCAGGGGCGGAGGGCGAGGGCGGAGGGCGGGATGGGCGCTAAGCGGGAGGTGGAGCGGACGGAGAGTGGAACGCACAGATGGGGGATGGCGAAGGCGGAGGGGCGGGAAGCGGGGAGGACGGCGGGAGGGTGGAAGTCGTGTGTATGGCACGCGTGCGCACGGAGCGCCCAAGCGCCTGGTATATCTCAAACAAATTTCGGATCACCTTACCCCTCTCGGAGCTCACGCCTCCGACGGAAGCTCATCCATCGGCAGGTCCGCCACGGCCTCCCGGACCGATGCCTGTAGCACTTCGGCGAGGGCCTCTCTCCGCGCGGCGCACACGGAGCTCGAGGCGAGGGCAAAGGGACGGTCGGAGATCAGCCGGCGGAAGGTGCAGCCGGTGGCGCGGCCCAGCGCCCAGCCCGCGCACCAGTCCCAAGCCTTGGGCGTGTCGCGCTTTCCGACCCCCATGATGACGGCATCGCACCGGCCCGACGCCAGCCACGCGAGAGAGAGCACCGTCGAGCCGACGATGCGGAAGGCAAAGACATTGCGGTCGAGCAGCGCCCTGTAGACCGCCGCCAGCCGCGCGGAGCCCTGGGCGCTCCGCTCGTATCCTAGGTCACTGAGCACCACAGACCTGTCGAGCTGGTCCGGCGCGCCTTCGTCAGCGGGCGGCAAGCGGCGGCCGTTGAGGTAAGCTCCCTCCTCCACCACGCCGACGTACAGGTCGTCCCGATACGGGTCGTAGATGACGCCGAGCTCGGGCAGGCCGCCCACGGCGAGGCCAATCGAGACGACGCTCTCTGGCATCCCGTGGCAGAAGTTCTGCGTGCCATCGATTGGGTCGATGATCCAGGTCGGCCGCGCCTCGACGGCGGGCACGCCTCCCGCCGCGGCGGAGCTCTCCTCGCCGATGATGTCGTGCGACGGAAACGCCTCACGCAGGCCAGCAGTGACGAGCCTCTCGTTCTCCAGGTCTGTCGCTGTCTGAGGATCTATCCCATCGTCGCCATCCTTGAAAAGCGCTGCCGCACCGGCCGTCGCCCGCATGTTCTCACCACACTTGAGCGCGAGTCCGACAGCCACGTCGACTTCCTGCGCGAAGCTGCGAAAGCCGACAGTGCCCACCCAGGAGTGGTCGCGAGAGGTGAAGGCCACCATGGTTTGCATCGCGCGCACTCAGATGAGACACACGAGCCCCGACACTCGCAGCGCCTCCAGCTGAACAGGCGTGCTGTCACTTGTAGTGAGCGTCGGGCTGGTGGTTCGACACCGAGTTGCAAGATCTTTCTCCTCGTTACTCTTCACAGGAAAATCCTCTGAAGAAAATCGGAGAAAAAACAGAAACCTTTTCTGCCTAAGTAGCACGCAGCCGGGTCCCGAAGGTGTCCCATCCCAAATTCGTGCCGTCGACAGACCAGATTCGTGGTCCCTTGGTCGACTACACCCGCCCGCCTTTGGATGGACGGTAGCCCGACACAATACATTTGTCTGTCTTTTTGCGTTTTGGATTTTTGGTTCGTCTGGTGAAAGATGCAAACCATGCCGGGGTCTTGTGAGCTTGTGTGTGTGTGTGTGTGCTGAGCCCTGGCTGTCAGGCTGTCAGGTGCTGTCAGGTGATCTGTCGGGCTGTCGGGCACTGTCAGGCACTGTCAGGTAGGTGCCTCTGTGTCAGACCAGCTGTCAGGTGCTGTCAGTGCTGTCAGGTGCTGTCGGGTGCGTGTCTGACAGGCGAGGTGATCTGTAGCTGTCGGGTGCTGTCGGAGCTGTCGGGTGTTGCTGTCAGACGCTGTCGGAGCTGTCAGAGCTGTCAGGCTGCTGCTGCTGTCACACGTTGGGCTGTTGCTGTCAGGTGATGTCAGGTGGTGCTGTCGGGGTGCTGTCAGGCTCTGACACACATCAGCCACACTTATGACACTATCAAGAGGGCGCTGACTATCAAGGGGGCGCTGACGCCGATGACGCCGGCGGCTACGCAGCTGCCTCCGCCTCCTACGGCGTGATCACGCCGGCAGGGGCGGCCGCCTGGGGAGCGCAGATGGCGGCGCAGGCGCAGGCGGCGGCGGCGGCACACAGACGGCGGCGGCCACCCCCACCCAGACGCCGTAGGCATATGACTGTAGGGCCCCAGAAGGCTAGCTGGTAGCTTCATTTGTAGTAGCACAGCCGCCGGACCCGGTGCTGGAGAGGGGTCCGCAGAGGTGGGGCGGGAGAGGGTTGAGAGAGAGACCCATGACCATCCCATGACTACATGGACCACACTCACATGTCCTTGCATGTAATTTTGTTATACCCTCATGGGGCACAAGAAAGAGGCTCTACGGGGTCTGACTGTGTACGGTCTGTGCTGCTGTCGGGCTGTCAGCGCTACTGTCAGGCCACTGTGTGCTGTCGGGCTGTCAGGCAGCTGTCAGGCTGTCACGTTAGGGCCTGACAGCGACGGGTCACCTCGCATGTCAGGCTCTGCTGTCAGGCTGTCAGATACGTGCTGTCAGACTGTCAGAGAAAGTGCTGTCAGCGCTGTCAGGCTGTCGGGCACTGTCAGGCGCTGTCCCGTGTCCGGGGGTTTGCTGTCAGGCTGTCAGACCATGGCTCAGTCTGTGTGTTGCTCGAGCGTGCCCTCCTCTTGCTCTTCTGTCCCGCGTCCACCCATACCGCGTTGGTGTCCCAGTCCGAGCTAGACTGACTGTGTTTCGCCTTCCTATCAATCAATTCTCTTCAATTGGTGCAACGCGCTCGAGGCAACGCGATCCCGGCGTCCCCACGTGGGCGACATTGGGCGGCTCCGGCCGCACGCGCACGATCCGCTGCGTGGAGAGCTCGTCGAAAGCATCGCCGCCTCCGCCTCGCCCGGCTGCGGCCCGTCGCAGCGCCCGCCGCGGCGCCGGTGGCGGCGAAGCACGGCCTCGCAGTGGCGAGCTCCTCGGAGGTGCTCCGCCATCCGCAAGGGCGACGAGAGCGTCTCGTGGCATAGGCAGCAGCGGCGCAGCCCCAATGGCGGAGGCGCGGCGGCGGCGGCAGCGCGGCGGAAGGAGCGGACCCACTCCTTGTCGGCAGGGGCGCCTCGGACCCCTCTCCCCTCTCTCCCTCGCCCATGTCCGCAGGCCTGCTTCCAGTTGCACGGATCGTCGTACGGGCTCGAGAGGAAGTGCATTACGGTTGCGGCGTCCACGTAGTGCGTGCTGCTGCTGTACTCGTCGTCTTCGCACGAGCCGTTCGTCGACTCCCACGCGGGCCAGCTGTGCTGCACATTCGGATCATAGCTGGACACAAAAGAAATGTGCCGCAGCATCAACTATTCGATCAACCTAATAGTGGCACGGGTTGCCGATGTGGCATCGGGGCAGCGCCGCTCGCACGCGCTGCCCTGCGCTCACCGCCTCGGCGGTGGGGCCCGGCCCCGAGATCGGGTCGAGCACGTTGGGTCGGAGCAGCCATGCCATGTGGGTGCCGAGGTACCGGAGGCGCGAGAGCGAGGCGACGGCCGCCCCCGCGGCAGGTGTGAGCGCGTCGCACCCCTCGAGATGCAGCCGCTCGAGGAGGGGGCAGCGGCGGCACACCTCGATCAGACCCTCCGCGGTGCACTCGTCGCACCGCTCAGATCGAGCACCCTGAGGCGCGGCGCGTGCGCGCTCACCACGCTGAGAATAGCGCATGGCGCTGCGCTGAAGGGCTCACGCTATAGGGTGCTGGATGAGGACGGGTACGATGCACTAGCCCCAGCCGTCGGGGGGGTGTTGCCAGCACACTGGTAGATGACCTCTCGGAGAAGAGCCTGAGGAAGCTCTTCGCTGGGTGGAAGGAGGCCCGGCCAGCCTTGAGGGAGTCGCGGAGGAGGAGGGATAATGGAGGTAACGTGCAGACGGGCCAACAGCCAGTGGGACGAACGAGGGCCGCGACGGCGGCTCAAGCGGGAGGGAGCGGTGACAGTGGGCAGCCCCCTCCCACCCCCGCCGCGCTGCAGCTGGCGAGGTTGAGGTGGGTGAGCGACGCGCACGCGGGAGCGAGCGAGACAAGGCCCTCCTCTGAGATGGCCAAGTGTCCGTTGCGGCTGCTCAGCCCGAGGTACGCCAGCCGCCGGCCTGCCTCGCGCCGAGCGAGCGCCAGCAGCGGGCTGTCCGCCGCGCCCGCGCAGCCCGCGAGCTCGAGGTGCGACAGGAGAAGCAGCGCCGCGACGCAGCACACGCCCTCATCGCTCACGCGGCGACAGTTGGAGACGTCGACGAGGCGCAGCCGCAGGCACGAGGACGCGATCGCCGCCAGCCCGCCATCGCGCAGCCCGCTGCAGGTGCTCAGCCATAGCTCCTGCAGCGACGCGCACGCGGCCAGCCGCCGCACCGCGCTGTCCGAGAGCCACGCGGAGCCGGTGAGGTTGAGGGACGTGAGCGACACCGCCCACGGCGAAACCAGGAGGTTGCTGGCGAGCAACAGGTTGCCGAGGTGCAGCGAGCGTAGCTCGGCGCAGCCCGCGGCGACGGCGGAGAGGGCGGCGTCGCTAAAGTGCTTGCCGCCGGAGCCGTTGCGCTGCAGGCTCAGGCGCTGCAGCCGCGGGCAGCTGCGAGCGATCTCGTACAGCGCCGCGTCCGATATCATTGTGCTGGAGAGGTCGAGTGCCGTCAGCGCTGGGCAAGCTGTGCAGATGGAGTGCACCGCCTCGTCGTCGATTCGGGCGCTGTTCGTGCGGCAGACCAGCGCCCAGTTGGCCTCGCGGAGGGGCGAGCGCCACGCACGCACCGAGCTGGACAGCCCCATACAAATTCGTGCAAGCACGCCGGAGTGCCTGTACATGGCCGCCAGACGCTGGTCCTCTGTCCAGTGCTGCTCGCCGCGCTTGTCGCCGCACGCGTGCCAGCTGTCGTACCAGCTCAGCGCGAACAGGATGGGCTCGACGACGTCGAGCGGCGGCGACTGCCACACGTTTTGCCTCAAGTGACCTAGCAATGGGCAAATGCGCGGGAGCGGGAGTCCGACAGGAAATCACGCTCGCGACAGGACGCAAACGGTCTCGACACGAGCCGCGTGGGGCGTCAGGTCCACGGGCGTGGCTCTCGCGAGCCGAAAGGCTGTCCCGGCGCCCTCGGCGCCGCACAGCGCCGCGAGGTCTCGGCCGAGCGTCTGCGCGTCGCAAGACACGTACACCAGCACGCTGCAGGTCGAGCGCCGCAGCGCACCTCGCATCGCGCCGCTCAGTCCCGCACGCGGCGGGTCGACCACCACCGCGAGGTCGACTCCGCCGGGCGCGAGGGCGGCTGCGAGGCCGGCCGGCGGCCTGCCGGAGAAGGCGAGGTCGGCGGCCTCGAAACGGCACAGCGCCCCCACTCCGTTGGCCGCCGCGTTCGCCTCCGCCGCGGCCACCGCCTCGGCGCCGAGCTCGAGCCCGAGCACGCTCGCGAAGGAGGTCGTCGCGGCGAGGGAGACGCCAAAGAGCCCCGAGCCGCAGTAGAGGTCGACCAGGGCGAGGCGGCGAGGCGCCTCCTCCACTGGCCGCCGCTCCTCCTCTCGCCCCGCCTCTCGCCCCGCACCGTGCGCCGCCACCGGCAGCTCGTTGCCCCGCCCCGACGCGAGCCCGAGAGCGACGCCGTCGGCAACCAGCCGCACAAGCAAGTCCGTCCCCCCGTCGTTCACCTGCCAAAAGCCTCGCGGAGGAACCTCGAAGCGAAGCGGCGCGCCGCCGCCCGGCCGCTGGACCGCCACGGCGAGGGAGTCGCCGCCGCCGCGCGCGGCGAGCACCGCCACCGCTTCCGCACACGCGTCTGGAGAGGCGCCGCGTCGCTGGCGGCGTCGGCCCCTCGAAGCGCCGGTGTCGGGCGGCGGCGGCACCGGCGCCTCGGTGTGCAGCACTCGCACGAGCGGCTCGTGCGCCTCGAGGAGCGACGCCGCGAGGGCGGCGAGGGCGGCGAGGGCGGCGGAGCTGGCGGCGCCGGCGGTGACCAGCTCGAGCTGCACCGCCGCTCCGCCTCCCGCGCCGCCGCCCGCCGTGCGAAGGACCGCCTGCCACAACGCGCCCTCGCCGCGCCTTCCGGATCGGACGTCGAAGCTCGGCAGCGCCGTCCGCCTCGCCCACGCCGCGACGGAGGCGAGCACGGCGTCCGCCTCCTCCGCCTGCAGCGGGCAGCCCTCTCCGCCTGCAGGGAGGCTCCGGGAAACCCTCACGGACGTGTCTCCTCCTGAGGCTTCGCCAGCCGGCAGCCGCGCCGATCGGCACCACTCGGCCCGCGTCGTCGGCCGCCTTGGAGCCGACCACAAGCCCGAGGCCGCTGTCGGAGGGGGCAAAGAAGAAGGTGGCCTTGTTGCGGTAGCGCGTCTGCTTCGGCGACGGCACCGTCGCGCGCACAATCGGCTCGAGCGCCGCCGCCGCCAGCGCCGCCGGCGTCGCGCTGTGCCCCGCCCCAGAGGCGTGGGCGGGAGAGGCGCGGGAGAGCACCGCCGCGGCGCCTCCAGGGCAGCGCGCGATGGCGTCGATCACCCACCGGCGCTTGGTAGCGAGCTGCTCTGCATAGGCCATGCGCTGCAGCTGGCAGCCGCCGCACGACGCAAAGAGCTCAGACCAAGGCGGCGCCACGCTCGCCGGGCCCGGCTCGAGCACCGCCGTCGTCCGCGCCTCGACGTGCCGCCGACGCCGCCGCGTGACCAAGGCGCGGACCAGCTCGCCAGGCACGGTGTGGTCACTCAGCATCACCGTCGCGCCCGCGTCCGTCCGGGCGATGCCGAGGCCGCCGTACGCGACTCGCTCGCACCGCACCTCAATCTCGTGGCCCTCCTCTGGCAGCGGCGGGGCGGCCGGAAGCTGCTGCCGAAGCGCCGCCGCCCGAGAGCTCCGCGTTGAGCGCGGACCGGCGTGGTGCCAGGCGGCCGCGGCGACGCCCAGCGGCAGGGCGGCGGCGAGGAGGAGGAGGACTGGCAGAGCAAAGCGCTTCATCCCCGTACCAGTTCACAGCCTTGTGATTGACAAGTTTGACGGCGTGTCCGAGGAGGCCCCGGCCAAAAGCGCATGTCTTGAAGGTCCGATACTGGAAGCCCATCTACCCTTACAAGTGCGCACACTTAATGATTTTCGACCGACCGCAGGGAAACGCAGGGGCGCCCCCCCCCCCCGACCGAGCTGCGAAACAACGGCGTCCACACCGGCCGCCGCTCGAGAAGCCCCAAAATTTTCTTCGGCGCTGCGCGCCGTTGCAGTCGTAGCTGTAGTCGAGTGTAGGTACACGTATGTTGCAGCCCAGCTATCGTGCCGCAAAAAGGTCCATGTGGCTAGAAAAAATGCTCCCGGTCGCCTCGAAAGCGCCCGCCGGTGTGTGTCCAAAGATGTAGCGCTACAAGTTTGGGGACGCATCCGACACACGGGCAGGTTTTCGCGCTTCTATGCTGGCCAACGGTGATGACGCCGTCGCGTCACCGACGGCTCGTGCTTGCGTATGATAGCAACCCCTCGTCCGACGGCAGCGTCCTCGTGTCCGCCACTCCACACACACACACACACACACACACACACACACACACACACACACACACACACACACACACACACACACACACACACACACACACACCGGGGTCTTGAAACGTCAAATGTCGAGCTCAGAAAAAAGAAAAATGACGTAAAGGTAAAAAAACAAAAATTCGAGTCACAGTGAGTTCAAACAGAGCATCGAATGGTGGAGCCTCGCGCGTCGCCCGGCTACCTGCGCCAGACCGCGGCATCGCGGGCGAGCAGCAGGTCGAAGGTGCTGCCGCGCACACCGCCCAGCCTCGCCAAGCATCCGACTGCGCTGGACAAGCTCCGGTCGACGCCCGAGCGACCGACTCCAAGCCGGCGGCGCTCGCTCGAGCCGGCGCTGGCCGAGGCGGTCGCCGGAGCGCCCGGCAGAGCGACCGACAACAACTTGGACATCGGCGCAGTTCTGAACCTCGAGTCCGCCGATCGGCCCGCGTCGACGGTGCCGCCCGAGTCCAAGACGAAAGTGGCCGACGCGGCGCTCGTCACTGAGAATGTGGACTGCCAGTCGCCCGCAAAGCTGCGCCGGCAGCCGGGGTTCGGAGCCACCCCGCTAAGCCGCACCGCCCTCGGCTGCTCCTCGCTCGCCACGCCCCCCTCCTCGGGCAACATCGCCCGCGCCGCGGCGGCCGCAGTGCGAGTGCGGATCGCGGGCGACGGCCCCCCGCCCACGGCCCTCTCCTTTGACCCTCCGCAGCAGGAGGCGCGTGCGCCGGCCGCCGCGCCCATGCCGCCCACCCCGCCCGTGCCGCCCACCCCGCCGGACACGCCGTCCACGCCTGCGGCGCGCGACCTCCCAGCCGTCGCCTCGACTCCGTCGGAGTCGCTGCCCAGGCCGGCGCCCGAGCCGGGCCGGCGCGACTCGACCGCGCTGCAGCGGCTCGAGTCGGTGAGCGCGCGGCTGCGCCGGATGCTCGACGTCGCCGGAGACGCTGCGGGCGCGGCGGCGGCGGCGGCGGTCGACGCTGCCGCCGAGGCTGCCGCCGAGACGGCGGCGGTGGAGGAGGACGCGGCGGCAGAGTCGCCGGTGGCGCAAGTGGCGCAAGAAGTGGCGCAAGCGCCCGCCAGCGTAGGCGCCAGCCCGCCGGCGGGCCGGTACCGCACGCGCGAGTCACTCCTCGCCGACGAGTTCTCTCCGATGGCCGAGCAGCCGATGGCCGGGGCGGAGGAGCAGCCCAAGCCGTGTGCAGAGGCGCCGCCGCTGCCCGAGGAGGACGAGGAGGACGAGGGGGACGAGGAGTACTTGCGCGGGTACGTGACGCGCCGCAGCGACGTCGGCGTCACCCCCGCGCCGCAGTCGCTGCCCCGCGTGTCGGCCCGCTCGGATAGCTCCGACTACCTCGCCTCTGCCTACGAGGCGGAGGCGCCGCCCTCGGCAAGCAAGGAGGGCTCGGCAAGCAAGGAGGGGACGCCCTCGGCGGCGGAGGCGATCGAGGGCGCCGGGGCCGCTCCTCTGCCCGCACTCGAGGCGAAGGAGCTCTCCTTCTGCCCGACGCCGGTGCGGCGGCGGCGGGCGCCGAGTCGTTGGCTGCTGCTGCTCGCAGCCGTCGCTGCCTTCGCGGCGGTCCGCCTCCGGCAGCCGCCGGCTCCGCACCGGTCGATGGTGCACTGGAACGACCTGCTGCGCCCGTACTTGCGCGCCACGTCGGCGCTCGGCCCGCGCGGAGCCAACGACCTCGCCGCGCCGATGGCAGAGCCCGCGCTGTTCGATGCCAGCGTCGGCGAGACTGATGCTCCGGAAGAGCCGCAGGAGCCGCAGGAGGAGGAGGCGGTGGAGTCGACGCGGGCAGCAAGCGAGCTGCAGGCGGCGGAGGAGGAGCGCGCGGCGGCAGAGCGCGCGGCGGCGGCGGAGCGCGCGGCGGCGGCGGAGCGCGCGGCGGCGGCGGAGCGCGCGGCGGCGGCGGAGCGCGCGGCGGCGGCAGAGCGCGCGGCGGCGGAGCGCGCGGCGGCGGCGGAGCACGCGGCGGCGGAGCGCGCGGCGGCGGAGCGCGCGGCGGCGGAGCGCGCGGCGGCGGAGCGCGCGGCGGCGGCTCTCGAGACGGAGGCGGCAGCCAAGGCTGCCGTCGCTGCGCTCGATGCGGCTCTCGCGTCGCTGCGCTGCCCCGCCAACCACTCCAACATCCCAACGGCTCCCTTGGTGCAGCCGCGGCGGCGGGCGGCGCCGGCCCCCGCCGCAGCCGCCGATACCTCGCGGCTGCTCGCCCTTGCTTGCGCCGGCCTCGTTGTCGCCGCGGGGGCGGCTCTCGCGACGAGCCTCGCAAAGGTTTCCTCCGAGGCGTCCGCCGCCGCCGCCGCCGCCGCCGCCGCACAGCGCGCCGCCCGCGGTTCGCGGCAGCGCGGCGAGGCGGACGCGTCCATGACATGTCCATGACACCTCCCAGACGTGTCCCACAGGCTCGCGGCTGCGCGGCGAGGTGGACGGCTCGGCGGCAGCGGACAGCTACGGCAGCGAGCAGCGTGTCCGCCTCACAATGGGCGACGACGGCGCGCGCTTCGCCTTGCCGCCGAGGCCGCGCCTCCGAGGCCCTCTCACTCTCCCCCTCGTGCGCTGTCCCGCGCGCAGGCATCGCCCTCAACGCGGACGGTTCCCTCGCAGCGACGCCAGTCCGGCGCTCGCGCCGCTCCGGCGGGTCGTCGGCGAGGAAGGCAAAGGTCCTCGTCTCGCCGGACGGGTCCGGGTACATCGAGGCGCTCGCACGCGGCACGCCGCCGTAAGCGAGGCAAGGAGTTGGCTCGCCGAGCGTGCCGCTGATCGGACGCGTGCCAGGGGGGACGACGAGCGACGTGTGGAAAGAGGTGCAGTGCTGGGTGATTCGCAGCAGATGGGGAGATGCGTGGGACATGTTGTAGACATGTGCGATGTCAGCCGAGGGGCATCGTCTCTTGAGACTAGACGTGTTGGGGACGTGCCCGACGTGGCGCCGGTCATGGGGCACACACCGCGGCGCGCGTCCATGTGTGCGGGCTGGGGGCTCTCACTGCCGCTCTTCCTCTTGCCAGGCCAGACCCCCCCCCCCCCGTTGTGTGCGCACCAGCGTGCTCACGTCCCAGTCGGGACAGTGCGGTCCCATGTGCGGTGCTCCGGATAAGGGATAAGAGAGAGGCGCGAGCTTGCACAAAGGTTTGATTCGCGGGAGACATTCACATACCACATACGGGGGAAGGACCGTGAGTTGACGGATGACGGCAGACGGGGTCTTGACGCTTGACGGAAAAATCGCGGGGGACCCGAGAGACCCACACAGTCAAACAGACCGCACACGCACAGCACTTCGCCAGTTCGCTAGACGCCACCAGACGGTCCACCGCGCCTCGCCGCTAATAGGTATTACGGCGCGTCGGCGGCACGACCCTCGACCCCGCGGCTCGTGTGCGTGCCGCCGTCATAGCGGAGTCTGACCAGCGCTCTGCGCTCGTCGGTGGCGGCTTCCCCCAATCTGTGTCGCACTCGGCGAACCTCGACAGCGCCTTCGGTGGCATGCAGCTCTTTGGACTTTGCGACAGAAGTCAAAAGCCTGGAGAGCAGCTCCTCTGCTGCTCACACGCTCTGCACAGTTGGCACAGCCCCTACTGAGTACTGTGTGTGCGGCTGCCACAGCTGTCACAGCGATGGGCTCGCCCTCATTGGCCCTCAGTCACTTGTGCTGCGGCTTGTGTGAGCGACACTGCTCGGTGACTGCCGGCACACTGTGAGACCATGGGTGTGAGGTAAAACCACGCTACCAGCGCTTGGTCACATCGGCCCCGAGGTCAGATCCATCTACAGCTCTGTTTTGTTATCCCAGATGTGAGATGACAAGACTTGTCTACTCGCTGGAGCCGAGCAGGAGGGCCTGGTGCACAACCCCTGGTCAACTCTGAGGGTCCTTCCCCTTTACAAAATCACATTAAAGGTCGTCAAAGCGGGACGAACCAAGCGCGAAGCGGCGAAGGGACGGTGTCGCGGATGTCGACCTGCAACGGCACGTCCTCGGCCGGGCGGCGCACGCGGCGGCCACGGGCCAGCGGCAGCGCCAAACGGCTAACGGGCAGCAGGCGGGCAGGCGAAGGCCGAAGCCGCGCTGATTCGCTGAGCCGCGGTTCGCCTCGCTGACGCCTCCACGCTTACGATACCGCCACAGTACTCCTTGCGACACCGCACCCTGGTACCGCCTGTGCATGCCTATGTCTGCTCTCTCTCACCAACACCTCCCGTCCGTAGCATATGCTACCAGGTCAGCATATGCCATCCCCTTCGCGTAGTCGAGTGCTCTCGATGGCAGCCCTTCAGCGCCCGCTGGCCGATGCCTCCGCCCAGCCGAGGCCGTCGGCGGCGACGGTAATGCTCACGCCGCCTTCGCCTTCGCCGCCAAGTCAAAGAGCGCGCCTGTCCGGTGGCCGAGGGAGAGGGGAGTGTGTCGGAGGCAGAGGAGGGCGGGCGGGGGAGGGGGCGGAGGCGGCGGGGCTTGGGCTTCGCCCTTGATGCCGAAGAAGCGGAGAGCGCCGGGCGCGTTCTTGGTCAGCCAGGCCATCAGGAGGTACTTGATGGTGCGTCCGGCGAGGATGAGGCCGATCACCTGCTCGGCAAGCCTCGCGGCCTCGCGACACTCGCACCGGGGCGCGGCTGCGAGGAGGCAGCCTCCTCGCCTCAGCGTCTAGGAAGTGTCTAGGAAGTGTCTAGGAAGCGTCTAGGAGGCAGCCCCCTCGCCTCGGCGTCGCTTCTCCCGGAGACGTACCCGAAGAGGACCACGGGGTGGAGGATGAGCGGCAAGCAAGAGACGCCGAGCATGCCCGCCGCGCCGTGCGCCTGCATCGCCGACATGAGCTTGTCGAACGACGGGTTGGCTAGCACCGCGCCGAACCGGTCCGCCAACAGGCTCTCCCCGTGCGAGCGCAGCAGCAGCAGCAGCGCGTAGGAGCCGGCGGCGGCGCCGACGGCGTTGGCGAGGGCGGTCGACACCCAGCGAGAGGGACGACCGAGCACTGCGGCGAGGTAGAGGACGACCGTCGCTGCGGTGAGGACGAGCGTGAAGAGGTTGACCGCCGTGCCCAGCGCAGCCACGAGCGGGAACCACCAGGCGCCTGCAAACTGCAGCAGCGCCACGGCGGCGCGCAGCACCGGACCTTGCGCGAGGGTCGGGGTGGCGCGGACGGCCTCGAGCTGGGCGAAGTAGCGGGCCACCGCAACGCTCGGCGCTGCTGCCGGCATCGACAGCAGCAGCGCCATCACCGGCAGCGAGAGGACGGCGCCTCCCAGCAACAGCGCCGCGGGCTTGCGGAGGAGCGAGTTGGAGCGCGACTGGGCCAACGTCCAGCCGCTGGCGGTGGCAGAGCGGCAGCTACCGGCGCGCGCGTCCGCTCCGCGCTGGATGCACGAGCTGCACCACTTCGAGGTGCAAAGCTTGCCGCTGCCCGCGCGCCAGTGCAGTGTGCGTGTGCCCACAGCGCTGTCGTCGAACACCGTCACCGGTCCGTCGGCCGAGGGCGGCACCTCGCAGAACAGCGTCGTCTTTTCGTGCGCGGTGAAGCACACTGGCGGGCTGGAGAGGAGGGCGACTAGCGAGAGGTGGATCATGTGTGCCACGAGCTGCGCGTCGGGTCGCGAGCAGATATGCGAGCGCGGCTGGCACGTCTAAAGAATTTTATCCTCAGGATACTCGGCACCGGCGGCGCAGCAGGACGAGGTAGAGGAGAGCGACGCGACAGAGGATGAAGCGACAGGAGGGAGAACGACGAGAGTGGGGCGACCGCGAGGTGGCATGAAGGTTGCAGCGAGAATCGGCGAGAGACTGCGAAGAGAGATAGAAAGAGGGAGACGCCCAAGCGCCAAGGGTTAGGGTGGGCGACGGCTAGCATCACACCCCTCTCCTTAAAATCCCTGTGTGGTGGCGGCGTGCCGTCCTCCCATCCCTCCCTTTGGTTGTGTCTGTTTTCTTTCTTTCTTTTACTGGGCACGGGACTGGCGCGCACTGGCACTAACCCAGGTACACCATAAAATTAAAAATAATTTTCACGTGTGGCGGAGTATCATTTTAAGCCACACTCCTCTCACCACTCGCACCACTGGCAGCCCCGAGTGTCCTTGCACTTGAATGACGGCCACGGGTTCTTTCGTCCCTGGTTGGCCTCTCGGTTGTCGTAGATCGGACCGCCGCATTTTGGGCATGCTGTGAACACCGTATCCTCCTCCTGTGACGGCGCCGGAGCATTGGCTGGCGGCGGGGTGGCAGGGGCTTGCGCGTCTCCTGTGCCCTCGAATCCCTTCCAAAGCGTCTCAAACTGCGAGTGGAAAGCGGCAACGAGGCTCGAGTCGTTGGTTATGACTAGGTTCTCGTTGTTGTGCTCGCTCGCCTGTCTCGTCCAGTTGAAGCTGCCGTTGAGCAGCACTGCGCCGTCCAAGCAGGCAAACTTATGGTGCATGTGATATCGGAAGTCCGCGTCCATCTCCAGCGGAACACCAGCCTCGCGAAGTCTCGCCGCATCCGAGCCCGTCTGCTTTGCCTGCTCGTCGTCGGTGATGACGCGGACACGGACGCCGCGGTGGCGGTGCGCGTCGAGCAGCCGCTGCGTCAGCCGGTCCTCGGTGATGTTGAAGACCGCGACGTCGATGCTCTTGTTGGCTGAGTCGAGGTACTTGAGGGCGACCGCCAGGGTGCTCAGGCTCTTTTCTTCGCCCGGGTCCGCGTCGGGGTGGTACGGGCCAGGTTCCTCGTCGCGGCCCGGGAAGAAGAGCGCCTTGGCTATCGCTCGCGAGGTCAAGAGGTCAAACTGGGGCGGCGTCGAGTAGCCCGCCTCTCCAACCCCGGCGCCCGTCGTCGTGTACGCAAGCGTTCCCAGCTCCAGCTCTGACGCGAGCATGTCGCACGCCTTGAGGCAGTCTTCGACAGCTCCAACGGCGGTGACGTGCGAGAACTTGTTGTCGCTGCCGGGGACTTCGAGGTCCAACAGCAGGCACTCCTGCTCAACCTTGTTTGTAATCCTGTGGGAGGTCGAGCGGGAGCCGGCCTGTGGAAGCGCCCGCGATGCTTCTGGGCAGGAGGTGAGGGCGGCACTCCTGTATCGGTTTGCCCGCAGCTTTCCCAGAAATGATTCGTCTCGCTCCTTCTGGAGGTCAAACGTGACTCGGCACGGCGTGTCGCCGCTGACCCGCATCTTCATCAGGTCCTCGATGGCGACGCGGCACTCCTCAATCTTCTCCTCGACGCCAGCGACCTCGATTACGCCCGACTGGTCCGTGTCAATCGTCACTGAATAGGTTGCCGAGAGGCCCTTGATCGTGCCGCCGCCGCGACCGATCAGCTTGCCCTTCGCGCTGTCTGGGAAGTAGTAGAACCTCGAGGTAGTTGCCTTTGGCGACCCCCGCGCCTTCTTCTTGGTGGCCAGCAGGCCGCGACGGAAGAAGTTCACCATAAGCGGGGGCGGGTGGCGACGGACGCCCGTCGGACCGAATGACGTCCGTCCCCCATGTGCCTCCAGTCTCTCTGATTTGCCACAGATCCCTCTTCTTCTCTCCCGTGTACGTACGTTGTTGGCAAAGGAAGACACAGAGCTCACACAAAATCACAGTGGGTGGTAAGCGAACGAGTCACTTAACAGGGGTCGATTAGCCCAGTACGAAAAAAGGCTCGCGACGTGGGGTGCTAGTATGAGACCGACCCAGGTCGTAGTTCTCTCCAACAACGCCTCCCCGGCGCAGAGGGGCCCCCGGAGGGAAAAGAAAAAAGAAAGAAAGAAAA